GGGGGGGGGGGGGGGCGGACCTTCACCGTGAAAGTTCCCTAGGGACTTTTAGTCTCGCTAGAGAAAACAATTTTATTAAACGATTTGGGATGCGTGGGAATTTACGTTTTATTTAAATTTCTTTTTACGATAACACGTAAATCCAAAAGAACACAACTTTCTCGATTCATTAATCCTCGATTGGATCCCATCAATTATCTCCGATGAGTCATTAGGAATCGTTTGACTTGGAATTTATGTTTTACGATCTTTTCTGAAATTTACGAGCTAAAACTAGAGAACTTGAGAGGGCTAGGGAATTTTACCTTCGTTTTGGAGTTGAAATTGGGTTAACGAAAAAAATAGCTAAAAAGTTTAATGTCAAGAAATGAATAGTGTCTTAAAAGAATATATCTTACCATTAACTTCAGGTGCTCGTACAATGGCTGCTAATACCAGAAGAAAAATCACCATAGGATCCATCCTGTTTATTTTTTAATTTTTTTTAGGGGGACAAGGTTATATTTTTTACACTTAATTCCCAGCCTCCTTCGCAGATTCTCTCTAGGGATTTTATCGAATTCTTCACGACTTATTACGAGATTGCCTGATGAATCAATTTTTTCATTTTTTCACCAAAAAAAAAAAGGAGAACAATTGAAAATTCCGTCGAATGATAATATGTAAACAAATTGCGGTTGCGTGGACCCGAGAAGCTGAGAAATGTAAGTCAACACGAATTCAAATGTTCACCGACTCAGAGTTGACGCAAAATATAAAAAAAGTAGGATGGCAAGATGCGTAAAAACGGGAAAAAGATTTCTTTCTCTTTTTTTTTTCTCACGTAAAAATTATATCGACGAACAAACACATTCGCTCCTGCTACACTTTCGAAGCTGCCGCTTTAATTAAGAAACTTTCGGCACTCGTGAACAACATGAAGTTCTCGTAAACCCGATATGTATTGGTAACGAAGAAAAATTATTGTTCAGCAAACTAACAATTTCTGACAGAGCAATTAACACTTTCTTTAATGACGGTAGTATTGTCCTTTCATTAGAAATATCTAACACTGCACCAGGTACTTTTTCGGTTCATGAAAACAAATCGAATTTCACCTTGAAACTAGGAACAAAAACTATTATCCGAACGAGGACGATGATGACTTCATTCTGGCAAACATTACGTCAAATTTTATATCCAGACGATAATAACTATATCCATACGTTATATTAATGTATGTAGTATTATACGATATATTATTTTTTTTTTAATTTTTACGAAAAAATTATATATTATTACTCAATTTCAACCTTCACGGCTGACACCTTTTCCACGGTGCAAGTTTTCGCAGTGTTTTTTACTTTCGTAGAAATTTCGAGTTCTCTCGCGTACATATAAAATATGTATAACGGTGGTTTTATAAAACTAATAAAAAATCACATCTGCTTCCGTCACGTTGCACCGTGTCCTTCTTCAAATTTCCCGCGGCACGCGTCACGTTCCCGTATGCGGATCTTGCATTTATATTTTCACTATCATAAACAACCCCTCTCCACCCACAAGGTTCACCCCAAATTCCCAGTGGATCCTTCCGGTTACGCAATGATGCCGTCGTGCACCTCCGATACGGCCAAAGTTCCGCGAGCGACTAACCGGCCGCTGCTTTCCGAAACTGAAACGGTTCGAAGCTGGCAGCGCGCACCTGTCCTGTCTCGGTCGCCACGCATGCGCACCTGACACACCGAGTACCGAAGACCTGCCGGGGTTGCAGGTGGAAGTGCATCCGAGATGGTTTGTGGAGAAATGCATATGTGCGCATATATGGATATGCACGTAGGTAAGGGCGAAGGCGCATGCGCATAAAAAAGGAAAATAACGTCATGGGATAACCTAGAGCTTGCTCGCGAATTTACTAAACTATTTTCGAATACCCAATCAGACGCGCGTTAAAAAAAGTATTGCACTGAAATGACGAGGTACTGAGAAAGTGAAAAACTTGAGGAAGAAAAAGTCTTAGAAAGGTGTAGGGGTCGGTTAGTCCTGATTTTTTTTATGAAGGCAAGTTAAGGCATATTTTTGAATCGCTCTAGGGAATATTACAAAACTGCAAAATACAGTTTTCAATTTCCCGTTTTCACGGGTTCGAGTGTAATAAAATGCTAAAAATATATTTAGGATTTAATTTATAGAAAACTTGACATACTCGTACAGAACAAGCATAAACAGTATTGTTGGTTGACAAGAAAAAAAAGCATTTCAAACTGTTAACACTTTTTTTCAAAAGAATTTTCGTTTCAGCAAATAATAAAATTTTCATATTTTCAATCAAAAGGCTAATCTGTGTGTATTTGAAACGTCATTTATTTCGCATTCAGCGAAATACGACTGGCATGATAATTAGCCATTGGCGTTATTTTGGTTTTAATACAGATTTGCAAAGCTTAATCCAAACAGATTGACCAATCTAGGATACGATATAATATTTTTGATCATCCAGTTAAAAATAGCGTATACTGTTTTTCGAATTGCTACAACAAAAATTGCTGCAAAAGCTGAAGACAGATACGACACCGTTTTTGACATTAAAATATTAATAATGAGACGGATTGGAAGTCAAAAATAAAATATTCGCATCCGAAATAAAAAATTACGAAACCATCTAGTAAATTTCCCGGAACTTTGTCGAACGTAACCTTGCCTAATTCAAGAAGTAAGCAATGCCATCTAAAATTAAGTATTTCGAGACCAACGAAACGATCACGGCTAAAAACATAAGTGACACAATCACTTTGAAAATAGTATCGGCCTACATTTAAAAAAAAGAACATCATAAAAGTAATAAAATTTGATAAAAGGACTCTTATGAAAAAGAAAAAGAAAACAGGAAGAAAAAGAAATTTTAAAAAATCCCCCATAGCATGAATTAATTCTTACAAGGAAGATTACCTTGGTGACGCCCCGAAAAACAGTACGTTTTTTAATATGTTGTACAGCTATTCAAGACCCGTACATTCGCAAGAAATCAGTGGCCCACATGAACGTTCGATGGGTCAAAATCAGGTCCAACAAGAATTTGCTCTTTATGAAAAATTCAATAATTATAAGTAACGAGAACAAACTTATTATATGACATGGATAGTATTACTTATGCACGAAACAATCTGGACATCGTTTTGATTGCTAGACGGAATAATTTATTCAGACAATTTTTCTGAAAGTAGATTTTTAGCTCGCAATTCGATCGAAGTTATTGAACGTAAGGGGGGAAACCACATTAGGAGACTCATTTTCACTGATATTTTAGGAATTTTTTTTTAGTAGGAAATAGTACTTTGCGATACAAGTGCGAGAAAGCGAACTTTATAGGCAGGCGGTGAATTTGGTCGCACGAGCCGCACACGAGTGTGACAAACTTCACGAACTGCGTATAATGTTCGCTTTATTGTACCAGTATCGCATAATATTTTCTGTAACGAATGCATGAAAAACGCTACTTTTTGTGCCTCCAAAGTGACTGGAACATCTCTTCGCTGGAGGAGGCAGCCATCAGAAGAGCAAGGAAGGCTTCCAAAGTGAATGCATTTCATGACAGCGCGCGAAAACAAAGTTTACTTAATCGCACTAGTGCGATAATGTAAAATTTGGCCGATTTGCGCATGCGCAGCATTTTTATCGTATCCATAGATATAAAGCGCCACTTTCGCCACACTTCGGAGGCACGAAAAGTAGCGTTTTTCGTGCATGAGTTACATAAAAGTAATTAGAATTCAATGAAATTTTGACATCATTTTATTCATATTTTGAACAACCTTTGTGATTTTTTTGAAAGATTTCATCCAAAAATAACAAAGTTCGCAGTCACCCTGTCAGTATAAAAAAGAGTGATAAGTAAATGGTGAGCGCCAATAAGCATATGGTAAACAGCAAATATTTATCGTCATCTATTAACCTTTAAACTTCTAAGCGGTGTTTCGCTTTTATCTCATCGAGTTGAATACATGCGGAACATTTTTTTGCAAAGTGGATAGATATACCATCAGTAGGCATGTCAGTTCGATAAATGTTTTAAACGTACTACTATAGCTTATTTGGCTACAATGCGCATACCAAAGTCAGTTAATGTGGAAGTGAATTTTACTTGAGCTTAAAGCTCATCGTAGATGTCGCCATAGTCGCTGGTTCTCACAGTAGCGGGATATTCAGACAGCGCGATCTTAGAAACATATTTTACTTAATAAACAACATAAATATCGAGCGTTTATAAATTGTGGAAAAAAGAGAAAATCAGGGTGAACTTCAGAAATATGGTCGATCATTAAAATAATATAATTTACGACGGTTTACATGAAGCTGAAATCGTAAACTCTGTCTTTCTCTACTCTTACAGTCTGCCGCCGGTCAAAGAAGCATTTGACTGGAAACAAATAATTAAGTAGCAAAAATGACAAAATACTGTGTAAAAGACTGCCTTGAGAAAGGAATTCATCGCTTTCCGAAAAACGTAACTTCTCGATAAAAAAAGCAATAGGTTTCTGGCAAAGGGCAACAAAAAAAGAAATTTCACTATAACCGTCGTTACACATTGGCTTCAGAAATTACGGTGCGCATACTTAATACCGAAAGTAACATTCGGCCAGATTTAAGCCCTTGACGTATATGGCTTCGAAAAGTGAAAAAATTTTGTTCCATATTTGTCTGATATGGTTATAATACACAACTGCGATATCAATCTTCATTTGCGGAATAATGCGATTAAAATGCAATCCTTACATCAATTTGTTCAAGTATGGTTAGCACAAAAGTGGGTTATATAAAACAAAGGCCATCTCCTGTCGAAAATCCTGTACACTTTCGATTTGGGGAACATTCCGAGATGAGATGGTACTTGTGTGGAAAAGATGTTGTAATTACATGTTCATAGTATAAAAAGCCATTGTACTTCAAACACTTTTTTGAAGATAATCATTATTTTAATGAATTCAATGCATAACATAAAATAGTCCAATTAAAAAATTCATGTGATTCTTAAAAATGAGCGCGTATTTATCTGTACGTGTGATATTGGGTATCTGCGCATATAAAAAAATCGATATTACGAATAAGTATAAGCGTAATTTAATGCATACAATATTCCATACAATATTCAGATTGTTCCATGCATAAGAAGTACTGTCCACATTACAATATGTTAGGAAAAAAAAATCTTTTCTGAAATACAAGGATCAAGAGGGTGGGTGGTGTATTTTAGTTGATAAGTATAAACTAATAAGAGCTTTTGATAGGCCATTTAAAAACAAATTTATCGTTCACTCAAAGTTTTTTTCCTATCCTGCATAGTTTATGAGATACATTGATCAACTGAAAATCCAAAAATATTTTAGAGCTATTTTGATACATCAAATTCTCATATGGACCACTGACTTTTTGCATATGTATATATCTTGAATAACTGTGCAACATAGTAAAAAATCATCCTATGTTTCGGAGCCTCACCAAGATAACCTTCCATGTCAGAAGATATTTTTCTCCCTAGCCATAAGTCAGACCGAGATACCCGATCAATCCCCGTTAATCCAGCATAAGTGGAAATCCCAAAGAATCCAGTAACTATATCGAGTATCCGGCAATTTTTCGAATTCGGGAATTGAAATGGAAAAAAGTCCCTAGACGGAGATTCGAGGTAATGCCCTTGATATATACCTATATATATATACCACAGAACTCAATGGTTGGCAGATATAAAAACCGCGGAGGGTTCGGTATTCGAGCTGACGTGAAGTCTTTTTCGCAAAATCGTCGAAATCACGCGAGGGTTACTGATGACGCTAGATGGCAGCGTGTTCGGTTTGGGAAATGAGGAGTAAGGTTAGATATGTCTAGTAAAACGGCGACGGGGGTGCAGGAAGAGGGTTGGTGGACAGTGAAAGAGGGGTGCCTTGTTAGCGAACTAATTCAAGTGGGACAAAAGGTTCAATTTTGTAGGACACGTATGTAATCGGAGGACAGCATTCACTTCTCATTGTCCAATGTTCTCGCACTGGTACCATCCCCCAAATATCGAACTCCCAAGATAGCCAATGTCGTTTCTTGTCTCCGTAGAGTCACCAATGCTACGACGCTGAAGACGCAGACTGCCGGTCATCGGATAAAAACATTACGACTTCATTTTCGCAGATTACACGTCAGTCGTACCAATGCAAAAATTAGACCTAGACCCATTCTCCAAATGCTGCATTGTAAGAGCTTACTCGGAATTCATCCCTTGGTCCTCTTCTCATTTCAGATGGATGAAGCGACGAACGTAAAGGTGGAAGCACTTAATGGACAAAGGGTTCATTCGGTTTCTAGGGAATTTTGGGGAAATTTCTATTAAGAGATCTAGCAATACGAATTCAACTCTATCGTATCCCACGGTACTCTGCATTGCAATCCCAAATGGTCTGGTAAACAGAAATCGAGAATAGTACAGTGCCAGGATGGGAGATGAATCTGGAGGGAGACAACGAGAGAGGGTTGTTTCGCAAGAGCCACGTGTCAGCTTCCACGCAGCTCAAACTCCAAACTGCTACTGCCACTATCACAGCAAATAAGTCTGTATACTCTGTTTCAGTAAAAAAAATCACCAAAATGACCGTGACAAGAATGTCTGATAACTTTTGAAAAATTTTCTCGCTG